TCTCTATCTCTGAAATCAACAAATAAAATTTTTAGATATATGTATAAATGCCAAAAAGAAGTCTGAAAGGATATAAACTACAGCTAACATTGGTGGTGGTAGGAATATTATTTTTTTTCTTTGTTTATATGCTTCAATCAATACTTTCCCCCAGTTATCACAAATTATTTTTTGTAAGCAAAAATATTCAGTTATGCATTAGCATAAAAGGTTAAAAAAAATAACGGCAAGAAAACAACTAATTCAACGGGACTCCACCGGTGGTGTTAAGAAAAAGATTTCAGCCCTGGCCAGAGTGGCTCAGATAGTTGAGCATTCTCCAGAGCAGCAGTCACCAAACTTTAGCCAACCTTTCGGACCTCACGGACCACCCGCTGCCCACTCTGCTCCAGAGCACCAAAAGGTCATGGGTTCGATTCCAGGTCAGGGCACATACCCAGGTTGTGGGTTTGGACCCCATCCTGGATCTCGATGTTTCTCCACCTGCTCCCTTTCCTTTCCTCTCTCCCTACAATCAATTTTTTTTTTTTTTAAAGAACGAAAAAAAAAATCTCAACTGCCCTGCAGGTGAAAGAAATTTGTTAAGAAGAGGACCACACAAGTAGCTCCCTTGCAAGGTAGTAGTCTAAATTCATTAAGAACGCTTCCCGGATTTGATAAGGGACACTCAATTAGCACATACTTCTGTTTTCTTATTGTTTACCAAAGAAAAACACCTCAATTAATGAGTTTGGGGGGAGGGTGTTCTTTTTAAAAACCAAGTTAGGACAAAAAGGAAGTTTGGTCCGGTCTTCAGGCCTCCTTGGTGTCTTGGGGGGAGGGTGGCCACGGATAGTGGCCCGGCTGGCAGCAGGCTACGCTGGAGGAACCTTCGTGGCCAGTGACCCCCGAAGCGGAACACGGGCTTTCAGCCTCTTCCACAGAAATGGGCGGCGGGAAGGCTTCCTAAGGGTTCTCAAGACTAACCCAGCTCAGACAGTCACTGAGACTGAAACAGCTGAGACAGTCACTGCCCGCCAAGCTCCTGCGGGCAGAGCCGCCAACGACTTCTGACAAAAACACCCCAAAACTGGACGGTCTCTCCTCTACTCTCTTGATGCAAACCCAAGGTATTAAAGGCCACACAGCTTCGGTTTTGCAAACTAGGACAACCAAAACCGTCCTATTGACTCTCTCTGGATAACCAACATCCTCTGGGCTAAAATCTTCACGTCGCATACAAACAGCCACTTTGGAAAACTTTGGATTGCAACGACTTAGGGTACTCTGTAATCAGTTCATCGCACACAATCTGTGTGTGCTACCTCTTTACTGTCAGCTCTGGTTCCACTTATTGAACAAACAAGGAGGAAAAAAAAAAGGGGGGGGGGGAATCATTTAAATTCGCAACACAATACAGGATATAAAAAGCTCCCGCTTTCTAGATGGCAGCTTTCCTGTCTCATCCATCACAACAAAGGACGCCTCTCAGTGCCTTCCTTAAACCTGGCCAGGGCTGAAAACCAGAGGTAAATGGAATAGTGTGAATTCCAGGATTTGTGGGTTTCTCCTGCCAGCTACGTAACGACTCCCTCCCTCTCCTTTTACTCCATTAAACGCCTCCCCCCGAGTTAACAGTCTCGCCCTAAAAAAAATAAAAATAAAAATAACACCACCCGGGGCTATCGACCACTTTCCTGCCAAGCCCCGACTACGGTTTCCTTGCAGAAAAGCCAAATTGCAGGCTCTCTGCCTTCGCTCATCGCGGAGAAGGGGGGACCCGGGGAGACTCGCCAGCCCGGCCGGGCGGGAACCACCGACCCGGAGCAGCAGTCCCGCTCTGTCGTAGCCACCGCCGTGTCCGCGAGAGCCGGAGGACCCCCACCCCCAGGAAAAGCCGGGGTGAGGAGAAGGGGGGCCGCCGCAGGAGAGACACTCACCCGCCCAGAAAACAACCGACGGGGCGGGGAGGCTGGGGGCCCGGGAGCTCGGCTCGGCAGAAACACCGCCTGGGGCTTCCGGAACGCTGCGGCGGCGGCGGCGGCGGCGGCGGCGGCTCCTGGCCTCGGGCTTCCTCCCCTCCTCTGTTTTGGTGTGACTGACCACGTCACTATCAGCCACGAGACCCGGATCTGCCCGCTCCCGCGGGGCGGAGGCGGCGCAACAGATTGCAGCTGCTCGAGACCCCGGCCTTGCGGAGCGTGCGCCAACTCCGCGCCTGCGCAGTGCGCCGGGGGAGGCGGGACGGGCGCGGGCGTCGCGATATTCGTGGGACTGATCGTGGCAGTGGCAGTTCCGGTTGAGTGGGGCGAGGCCTCGCGGATGTCGGACTGCCCCCACACATCGCCTCTGGTTTGTCCGAGATGGACTAATTTCCTCTCCTGGGCGTCCCTGTTTGCCTAACCGGATGGCTGTCCCCGACTGGAGTCTTTTAGATTTAGAATAGCGCGGGTTCACGTCCGCGGAGACACAGGGTACCGCTACAGAGATTGTTTCTGACCAAAACTCAGGGCCAGGTGAAAATGGGATTTAGGGGATTTTGTCTAGGATACAAAAGGACGTTGAATGTGGCAGTTACTGATCCCCTTTACCCTCACGTGTTTTCACCAGGAAGCTGGCTACAATTAAGCTCAAAAGGAGTATGGAAAGAAAGATGTCACAAAAGACGACTGGTAGAGAGCAGGGGACTGGAAGAGGAAAGCTATGAGGTCGATTTCACTTAAAATGAAACCATCTAAGATTGTCAGGCAGCCAGCCTAAGCCTGTGTTTCTTTGACCATAGGTGCTGAAATAAGGATACTACTTGTGGAGTAAAAAAAATTGTCTTTTTTAGACCAAGTTGGTACTTCCCACTCTGACCTGAGTCTCACTGCCAAACGTTTGGGGCCCAAGAAATCTCCCCAATCTGGCAATAATTAGGGCTACTCCATTGTTTTTTTAAGGTCCGTGTGTTGACAAACTTAAAATTGAACCAGTGGTGAAAGTGGAGTTCCAAGAAAGATTTCACAATGGTGCCTCTCTGCCTGCTCTGCAGGAGAAGTGAAAGTGAGCTGTCTTTCTCACTCTGACTTGGTGGCTTTTGGGCCTGTCCAGACTTCTACCTCAGCCCTGTGGTTAATCATCTCAACTACCTGAGTCAATTTGAGAAAATTAGTATAATCTGCTGGAGTTTTTTTAATTAAAGTGCTTGAACACAGGTAAATGTTACTAGAAAATTAAAGGTTTCTGGTAAAACTCAAAACTGTTTCCTAGTTAAATAACAGATTCAAAGTACAAGTCAAGCTTCTTGGCCCTTAATCTGCAATTCTTGAACTTGACTCAAATTCAGAGAGTTTGAAGTGGAATCTCGTGCCCCGATGTAGTTCATGGGCTGACCCTGCAGCAGAGAGCCTTTAGGGGTGTCGAACTCAATCAGAGAAGGGGCCAAAATCTAAAATCCAGCCTAAATCGCGGGCCGAATGGTTTACTGAACAGTCATAAACTGTCATTGTGATGGAAATGCAGCGGAGTGCAGTGATGACAGCGCGGTGTGGGCCACATTGCAAGGCCTGGCGGGACGGATTTGGCCCACGGGCCTTGTGTTTGACACATGTGCTTTAATCTATGGAACAGAAAGTCTTGTTTGCCTGAGTACACCATGTGCACATATGTGATTGACAACACGGTTGTGTTTTAAGAAAGCAGTATGGTACAAAACTAGACTTGTACTGGTTATTGCAAAATTATCAGTACTTGCTTTATAAATGACTGGAAAAATCAAGATGTTAGGATCCCTGGTGGCTCAGCTTCTAAGGTGCCTCTGTAGTCTCCTCCAGCCCTTTGAGTCAGGGGCACTCTGACCTGTAGAAGATAGCTGAAGGTGTGTGACTTCTGAAACTAGACATAAAGACACTGATTGCTTGTTCTAGGGGAAGAGAGTCTCCATGCCACTCCACTCAAACAGCTCTGTGAAGAGGCCCTTGTGAAGAGGAACAAAAGCCTCCTCAACAGCCAGCCAAGCATGAATTGACCAGCTTGTGGGTGAACTACCTTGATTGGGTCGATCCTACAATCCTAATCAAGCATTATATAGAACTAGAGGCTTGGTCCATGAAAATTCATGCACTGGAGGGGGGGATCCTCAGCCCGGCCTTCCCCCTCTCATAGTCGGGACCTCTCAGGGGTGAGGGGGTGACCTGGCGCTCAGGGGAAGACAATGCCCCATCACACCTCTGTTGCTGCTACTGCCAGCAGTGCAAGCCTCAGCCGGCCCTGGTTACCTGGGCAACTGGGCAGCCACCATCTGAGACTTGCCTGTGCATCGGGCCAGCCCCAGGGTGGGTTGAAGGAACTGGGGGACTCTGGAGGCAGGTGGGCCCAGCCTTGCCATGCACTTGCCACCCAGGTGGAGCTGAGGGGACTGGGCACCACCATCTTTGAGGGTGTGGTAGTCAATTAGCATATTTCCTCCTATTGGCTGTGAGCACCACCATCTTTGCAATGGCATGAAGGTCAATTAGCATATTCCCTCTTTATTAGATAGGATGCCTACTGACCCAACATCTGCTTGCAGTCCCATGAGAGAAAGGGTCACCTCTTCTAATTAAATGAAATGGAGTTTGAAAGGAATCCAGCTCATTATTTATGTCAGAGATTGTTTCATTTTAAGGGAAATAAAATCCTATTTTTGAGCCCACAACTAAGAATACATGGTGCTAACAACTACCTTCCCCTAACCTGTTGTATCTTTGAAGAAGCATGGGCTTTTGGAGTCTATCCCTTCCTCACTGGGCCTAGTGAAAGGTACCAGTTAAGATAGTCAACACTGCCACCATCATTATCCCCTCCCAATATCAGGGGAAGACAGGAACAAGTGAAAGCTATCTTTATGGGAAAAGGCAGTGTTCTTAAGGTGAAGTTACCCTTTGGGGAGATTGGAGCGTTCTAAATAAAGAGGGTGTTCCCTCTCTTGTTGTGAGAGACGGTAGAGAACTTTCCTTTTCCCCAAGATGCGAGAGAGAGTCACTAAAAGAATTACTCAAGTGCTCACTTCGGCAGCACAAATACTAAATTGGAATGATCCAGAGAAGATTAGCATGACCCCTGCAAAAGGATGATATGAAAATTTGTAAAGCGTTCCATATTAAAAAAAAAAAAAAAAAAAAAAAAAAATCACTCAGAGTAGGGGTACTTGAATCACTGAATTATTAGATGCCTCTAATAATTGGTGATTGCCTCCAGTCTAAAAATTGCCAAGCCATTCACCTGGTACTGCTAGGGGATAGAAAGAGAGACATGAGAGGATAGGTAAAACTGAGAGAGGGAGGTGTCAGCTGTGTAGTGGGGCAGTCTGTATTTTTACTGTTGGAATGGTAAGAAGTTTCCCAAAAATCAAGTGGTACTACATGGTATAGCAGGGCCCTAGATAACTGCTCCATCACCCCCCCCACACATGCACACACACAAATGCACATGCAATGCATACCCACACCAACTATATATTATCTCTAGGTCAAGCAGTCAAAATAAACTCCAGTTGTTAAATTTTAAAAAACCTTATCTTTAGAGGTACATAGTGATGTATTTAAAGCTGAAATGATGAGTCCTAGGATTTGCCTCACATCTAGTAGAGAAGTAGTGGATGTGTTGTATATTATATTGTTGAAGCTAAGTTCTGTTGTACTATTTGCTCTACTTTTGTATATTAATTTGAATTTTTTAATACTAAAATTTTTAAAAATACTTTTGGGCACAAAAAAGCTTTTGTAAAATAAATCAATAAACCAATCATAATTTATTGATTTTATTTGGGTCTCTATTTGAAAAACTGCCAAAAATTATAAGACAAGCCCTAGCTGGTTTGACTCAGTATATAGAGCAGCCTGGGGACTGAAGGATCCTGGGTTTGATTTTGGGCAAGGGCACAATGTCTGGGTTGCAGGCTTAATCCCCAGAAGGGGGTGTGAAGGAGGCAGCCAATCAATGATTCTCTCTCATCACTGGTGTTTCTCTCTCTTTCTCTCTCTCTGAAATCAATTAAAAAAAAAAAACATATATATATATATATATATATATATATATATATATATATATATATATATATATATATATATCTGTTAAGAAAAGTATAAGACAATCAAGAAGATGAACACTAACTGGATATTTGATGATATTAAAGAATTTCTGTTAATTTTTTTCTATATGGTAACATTATTGTGGCTATGTTTAAAAGAGTTCTTTTAGAGAAACAAAATGTTACAAATTAAATATGATGCTATGTTGGGAATTTGCTTCAAAATAATCAGGGAGAGGAAAATGGACAGTGGTTTGGATGAAAGAAGATGGACCATTATCAATAGATTGACCATGTATTGATAGTTTTTTAAAACTGGTTCCTTATTATTATTTACTAGTGTCCAGGTGCACAGATTCATGCACATTGAAAGGAAATTAATTAGAAGAAATATTTTGGTTAAACTGTAAAATGTTTGCACCTGGCTATAAAGTAAGTTGGGTTCCTGGGCTGAAGAAATTCCAAGGAGGCTAGTTGCTAGGGAGAGGAAGCTGGGTATTGCTACATGACATCTTTACCCGGCGCCCACAGCCACAATTTCTGGGCTAGGCTGGACTGTGGGCTTCATTTTGTGCAATGGGGTCATGGTAGCATTGGCTGCGATTTATTGGGGTGTCACTCCAGGGTTGTGGAGTGTCTCATTTTGGGGAAGCTGAGTGTTGGTTTGTTGATACCAGTCCACAGTGCCATTTATTTTTAAACTAGAGGCCCAGTGCATGAAATTCATGCATGGGTAGGGTTCCTAGGCCTGGTTGCCAACTAGGGCCTCCCTTTATTCTGTGCTGCCCCCTGGTGGTCAGCACATGTCATAGTGAGCAATTGAACTCCCGATCTCCCAATCAAACTCCCAAAGGGACACTTTGCATATTAGCCTTTTATATATATAAATGGCCAGTGCACATCCTGGCAGCTCCTGTGTTGAGCATCTGCCCCCTGGTGGCCAGTGTACATCATAGCTCCTGCTCAGATGGACAAACAATTAGCCTTTTATATATATAGACTAGGCACACTTCTACCTCAGGGCCTTTGCACCTCTTCCAGATATCATACAGTCTTCCCCCTTACTTCCTTTGAGTTTCAAACATCATCTTATCAGAGAGAACTTTTCTAACCATTCATATAAAAGAGCACTTTCCTCATTCAGTCTTTCACCATGTACCTTGTTTTATTCTTTTTCACATCACTTATCTCAGACATTACTTAATTAACTAAAGGCAGAACTGCTCTAAGAGTGGGTAACTCAATGGTTCACAATGACAAGTCTCTGGCCTCCTTAGCATGTTAGTTTCTGCCCTCAGATTTGTTCTCTCATGACTGATAGCTATTATTCTATGAATCTCACTCTCATGCAACATTTAAAGAGAAGTGATGGAGACTCTTTCCTTTTGGACATCACTTTTTGAGACCAGGATAAACCTTTCCCATGTATCTCCAGAAGACTTTCCCTCATGTCTTTTTGGCTAGAATTGTCTCACATGCCCATTGCTAAACCATTCACAAGTAAGAGGAAAGGAACTGCTATGATTGAATGAAGATTCACTTTCTGGGAGTTGGAGGGACTTAGCATTCTTAAAGCCCTTGACTAATTTTATACACAAACTAGAGGCCTGGTGCATGGATTCATGCACGGGTGGGGTCCCTCAGCCTGGTCTGTGGGGATCAGGCCAAAACCAGCTCTCCAGCATCCCCTGAGGTGTCCCAGATTGCAAGAGGACACAAGCCAGGCCCAGAGACCCCACTGATGCATGATTGGGTTTGGGGAGGGACTGTGGGAGGGCTCCAGGGTGTGTCTGGCCCATTTTGCCTAGTTCCGATTGGCCGGACCCCAGGAGAAGCTAACCTACCAGTCAGAGCGTCTTCCCCCGTGGTGGTCAGTGTGTGTCAAAACTACTGGTTTAACAGTCAAATGAACAGTTGGACACTTAGCATATTAGGCTTTTATTATATAGGATTATACTTTTCTTTTTATATTAGTAAAAATTGATCCATAATGTATTTCCTCAAAAACATATTTATGATATTTTAAAATTTAATTAACCTTGCTTTTCACTTCTCTATAAAGAATTCATTGTTGCCCTAGCCAGTTCGGCTCAGTGGATAGAGTGTTGGCCTGGGGACTGAAGGGTCCTAGGTTAGATTCAAGGGTACACGCCCAGGTTGTGGACTCAATCCCCAGCATAGGGCGTTCAGGAAGTAGCCAATCAATAATTCTTTCATCATTGATGTTTCTATCTCTCTCTCTCCCTCTCCCTTCCTCTCTGAAGTGTTCATTGTTAATCATTCTAATATGCAAGAGTTCAATATATTACATTATGTCTAAAATTCAATAACTGAATCAGAAGTTTTATTTTATTCATTTTTTTTCTTTAAAATATATTTTATTGATTTTTCTACAGAGAGGAAGGGAGAAGGATAGAGAGCTAGAAACATTGATCAGCTGCCTCCTGATTAGTTGTGGGGATGTGCCCACAACTAAGGCACATGCTCCTGACCAGAACCAAACCTGGGACCCTTCAATCTGCAGGCTGACACTCTATCCACTGAGCCAAACCGGTTTCGGCTGAATCAGAAGTTTTAGAAATTCTCAACAGTGTTTCAGAAAATACATATTATAACACTATTTCTGATTCTATAGTCTCTATTCTTTCCATGCACCTTTTAAATTTACATTATCAATAATAGTGTGCTGGAGCTAACTCATACTCCTTTTTTAAAGAGTTCATTGTGTGCATCTGTTCCCAACTTTAAGTTCCCAACTTGGTAGCTTGAAATTGTCATGGTAGGAATATTTTACATCATGGAAATTGGCAAATGTTACAAATTAAGTGCTACTCCCTTGCTCTCACCCCTAGAAATTTGTTAATCATCTACCATGACAACACTGTCAACAAGTTCCTTTTTGTCATATGAGGTAGATATTTCTTGGGCATTCGTTGTGTCATTCAAAGCCGCCTGTTTGAAGGAAGTTTCATATACTAAAAACTAAATGTTGCCCGCTGGTGTGGTTCAATTGGTTGAAGTGTCATCCATGTTTAGAAAAGTGGCAGGAGTCTCTCATTCATTGATGTTTCTAACTCCCTTTCCCTTCCTCTCTCTGAAATCAATAAAAAACATCCTATAGAATAATAGACGGATATGCCAATTAGCCCGGACGCCACAACAGTCATGACCTGCCAGGTACTTAATAGTCACGACTGGTCAGGAGCGGTCCAGGAGCAGTCCCCAGCAGAAGCAGCCACCGGTGAAGGTGCACGCAGGTCTGCAGCGCTGTCCATCCCAGAGGCCGCCTGGCCGGGGGTCAAGAACAGTCACCCTGTGCCTCCTGGCCTGAAGCAGCCCCTAGTGGAAGTGGACACCAGCAGGGGTGTGCGAAGGCCCGCAGCGCCACCCAGGCCAGAGGCTGCCCAGCCAGTGGTCGTGAGCAGGCCAGTGGTGTCCCCACCCTGTGCTGATGTGGAGTGTCCCCTGGTGGAAGTGGCCACAGCGGTGATGTCATGCTGCCTCCCTGCATGGTGCTGCCTGAATGTGTCCCCACCCAGTGCTGAGGTGAAGCTGCCTGCCAGCATCCCTGGCCAGGGATGTGACACTGCCTGCCTGTGTCCCTGACAAATAGCAATATTAAAATATTTCCTCTAATTAATTCCCTTCAATATGCATGAATTTAGTGCACTAGGCCACTAGTATGAAATAATATAGGGGAATAAAAGAAAGATGGTGGGTTCTATTTCCAGTTAGGGCATATTTCCAGGTTTAACATCTGCATACAAGCTTAATACAAGTTTTCATAAATCTGTTGTATAAAGTGAGGCTCACTAAAACTACCATTTTTTCACCGAGTCTCTACATCTATGCAAAATATCAAGAATTTTTTCTCCCATTGATTTTTATTATTTTTTAAAATACATTTAAAAATATATATATTTTATTGATTTTTTTACAGAGAGAAAGGGAGATAGTTAGAAACATCGATAAGAGAGAGACATCGATCAGCTGCCTCTTGCACACCCTCCACCAGGGATATGCCCGCAACCAAGGTACATGCCCTTGACCAGAATTGAACCCGGGACTCTTCAGT